TTGTGTTGACTTTCTTGGGAACAGTGGGTACCTTCCTTGGGAAAAAACTGATTAAACTAAGTACTATTTGGCCAAGCAAAATGTGAAGGCAAAAACAGAAAGACCATTGTATTGCTTTACTCTTAAGCATGTCTTTTCTCCCTTCCACTTGAAGGTAGAGACACAGGAAGAGGGGAGGTGTAAGGAGTGATAGGAGAATTGCTCATTGCCTTATGCAAATGGTACATATTGCTTCTGAACTCTGAACATACCAAGAATATATCTCAAAGTCAATCTGTAATGAACTTACAGGAACTTGTTTAACCAAACATCTACCGTATAACATTCAGTGTGCAGATTTTAGATGAAATCTCACACACAGACACAGACCTGTATATATTACATAATCCTTGATTGAATGCTCAAGTACTTTTAAAAAACCTTTTTATCAGCAACCTGTAAGTTTTTCTCAAGGTGCATAAAAGTCATGAAGTTAAAATAACAAAACTGTTTTTCCACAATCCAGCCAATTTCTTCTTGCATCATTCCAGTGAAGACCTCACCAAATACAGTCTAGTGATAAGCAGTGTCTTAAATTCCTTTAAAAATTTAAAACTGCCTGCTCATGGTTCTTAGTGAACTGCTAGGGTAAAGAATCGCCTTCCCAGTGCTGGAGGTTGGGGGATTCAAGTATGACATTCCATCACTGAAGGAGCACATCCTGCCTTTGGATTTTATATCTGTTGCATCCTCGCCATCCTGTCTCACCTGGATTACTACAACTGCACCTTAGCTTCAAGCCTTTCCAACTGTAGTATAGCTTTCCCATAAATCAGGTTAATAATTATTTTATTTATGCTTTATTCCCATATAAATTGTTAGGTTCCTGTAATTGTTCTAAAGATCATAAACATATTAGTTCATTTAATCACATTAATAATCCTATGATATGGGTAATGTTTCCCTCATTTTACAGGTGAGGACCTGGAGACAAAGGAGAGGTTAAAATAACTTGCCCAGGGTCGCAAAGTTACTTAAATTTAGGATTTAAATTTAGATAGGAGGCAGGGCTTTGACCAGTGGTTAAGACACCAGTGAAGATGTTTGTGTTGCATATGGGAGAACCAAGGTTTTATACTCAGATATGGCTCTTGACTCCTGCTTCCTGCTAATGCCATGGGAAGCAGCAGTGATGACTCGAGTAATTGGGATCCTACCATCCATGTGGGAGACCTAGAGAGGCTTCCTGGCTCCTGGCTTTGGACCTCTACCCAACTCCAACTCCGGTATTATTGGGCATTTAGGGAGTGAACCAGTGGACAGGAGCTCTCTTTCTCTGTTTCTCTCTCTCAAACAGATAAAAACTTAAAAAAATACATAAATAAATTTGGTTAATCTAGTGCCAGAGTCTATGCTTATAATTACTACTTTGTACTGCTACTCTCAGTATATGAGAGACCCTTACAGCTGCTCTGACCTTACTGATCTTCCTTCCTGTGAATTATACACTACACTCCTTTAGTACTTGGTTTCTATGTAATTCTTTCATGCCTATAAATTAGGGCAGTTTGATGACAATGTAAAATTCTAAAGGAGCTGCTATCATCTGTTATCTAACTTCAGAACCCCTAGCACAGGACCAGGTACCTAAAAGCTCAAGGGGTTGAAATATCCAATCATGGTCTTTATTATTTTCATCACTACTTTCATCTTCTTGTTTTAATGAAGCTGGCATAAACCATCATAAGAAACTTATCACTGAATTTAAAATGACTCATGAATCAAAGTTCAAAGTTACTGTGAAACATTGGACAACTGATTCAGGGATTATTTTAATGTATTCCCTCAACTCCTTAAAGTTGCCATCACATGCTGTTTTTTAAGTATTTATTTCTTTATTTGAAAGTAAGTATTACAGAGAGAGAGGGAAAGACAAAGAGAGAGCGATATTCCATCTGCTGGTTCAGTCCCTAAATGGCTACAACAGCCAGTGCTGGGTTAGGCCAGAGCCAGGAGCTTCTTCTAGGTCTCCCATGTGGGTACAGGGGCCCAAGCACTTGGGCCATCTTCTGCTGCTTTCCCAGGCCATAAAAGGAGAGCTGGACTAGATGGAAGTGGAGCAGCTGGGACCCGAACTGGCATCCATAAGAGATGCCAGCATCTCAGGCTGCGGCTTTAACCACTACACCACAACACCTGCCCCACATACTATTTAATTAATTATTTTGCAAAAAGGAGAGGCTAAAAATAAATAAGTTAAATTTTTGTTACTAAGCTCAGTGATTCATATTCCTAGGTAATATGTTGTGATTTATTGTATAATTTAGAGATGAAAGACTTGGGTCTTAGTCCCATATCTGCTACTTTACTATGTATATGACTTCAGGACATTACTTAATCTCCCTGCTGTCCCCTTGCCACCTCACCTGACTCTTGTTTTCTCATCTTTACTCTGGGGATTATATTTGCCTTTATCCTAAATATAGTTTTGAGGATCAAAAAAGATACTGCTTCTGAAAATAGTTAAAAGCTTTTTATTTTTTAAAAAAGTAATACACATAAAACTTGTACAAACTTGTAGAGTACTATGTGGTGTTTTGATTCATGTATATATTGTGTAATGTCCAATCAGCGTATACTATCTATATCTATCTCCTCAAATATTTATCATTTCATTATGGTGTAAACACACAAAATCCCATTTTCTAGTTTTTGTAGTGAAATATATAGTGCATTAACATTATAGTCACCCTACTGTGCAACAGAATCCAAGAATTTCTTAGTCCTGTCTAGGTATAACTTAGTACCCATTAATCAGTCTGTCGAAGAGACATCTACACTCCCATGTTCATTCCAGCAGTATTCACAGTAACCAAGAAATGGAAACAATCTAACTTTTCATTCAGTCACGAATGGATAAAGGAAATGTGGTACATATACACAATAAAATACTACTCAGCCATAAAATGGATGAAGTCATGTCATTTGCAGCAACCTGGATGGAACTGGAGGTCATAATATTGAGCTAAATAAACCAAAAACAGAAGGGTAAGTATCACAATTTCTCACTCATATGTATTGTAAAAAAGATTGTGATCGCATAGAAGTTAAAAATGTGATGGTGGTTACCAGAGGCTAGGGAGGGAAATGAGGGACAATGATGGGGAAATATTGAAGGTACTTTTTAAACTTTAAAGCACTACATGGAGGTACTTCAGAAAGTTTGTGAAAATGCATATAATGTAAAAAACTGCCTGGATTTTTAAAAATTTATTTATTGAGTTGGTTCATGTATGTCATATATACAGATTTAGGAGCAAAGTGATGCTTCCCTCTCTACCCTCCCTCCCACCCATGCTGCCACCCTCCCTCCTCATTCCTTTCCCATTATTTCTTTTAGTTTTTATATGGATATTTTTTAGAATTGCATCAAAATGAATTTATCATTTAATTCCATTTCCATGAACTTTTTGAAGTACTCCCATAACAAAAGCTTGCATTATTATTCATAATATAAAGTCTGAGATCCAGGGAATGTTAATTTAGATTTTAGATCTGATCTTAATCCAAGTTGTGTGATCTTAGAATATGAAGACATTTGCATCCATGATTCTTATTCTCTCCTTTTGTAAAATAAATTACCTTACAGTTTTAACATTTTGTCACCAAATGGTCTTAATTTCCTCCATATCCTGTTGGCAAATAACAGAAAATGTGATGTAAAAATATCTGTATTGCTAGTGAAAATTTTCAACCCACATGATTACCAGGCCTTGAAGTGAATTATTGTGTATCATTGCCTTGTGTTGCCACTTGTTACATAAATCTTTTACATAAATAAATTATTTTAGTTTCTTCTGTTTTCTATAATTATAAATGATGATATATCAAATGCTACATGTGCATTATCTTTTTTAAAAAGGTTTGTTTATTTATTTTAAATTCAGAGTTGCACAGAGAGAGGAGAGGCAGAGAGAGAAAGAGAGAGAGAGAGAGAGAGAGGTCTTCCATCCTCTGGTTCACTCCCCAATTGGCCACATGGGCAGAGCTGCGCCGATCCAAAGCCAGAAGCCAGGAGCTTCTTCTGGGTTTCCTACGTGGGTGCAGGGGCCCAAGGACTTGGGCTATCTTCTACTGATTTCCCAGGCCATAGCAGAGAGCTGGATCAGAAGTGGATCATCCAGGACTCAAACCGGCGTCCATATGGGATGCTGGCACTGCAGGCGGCAGCTTTACATGCTATGCCACAGCACTGGCCCCACTGTGCATTATTGTACACAGAAAAAGATAAATTACTCTCTACAAATAAACTGAAAAAATATGTATTTTGGTAACTCTTGAAATAAATAAATAATTTTGTACCAAGAAGTAGAATATTTCTCCTGGGCTCAGAGTTAAAACTTCAAAATATGTGAATCCTAATTGAGTGTTTCATTCCATCATTAATAACCAAAAACATGTAAAAATAATATATACTATAGAAATATATATATATGTGTGTGTGTGTGTGAGTGTTTACATGTGTGTCAATGGAAAACGTCAAGACACATTAAACCAAAAGAGAAATGTTCAAAGTCATGGATGGAGCAGAATGTAGGAAATTTGGAGATTAAATTAAAGGAAGGGGAAAGCATTCATTCAGTTAAGCACTTATTAAAAAAAAATTGGTAGTCTATATGCCAGGTAGATGTTATGCCAAGTACTGTGGATGCAAAGATATATAGCTAAGTCTCTTTTCAGAGATTTCAATATTGTTGGAAACAGTGCTATGTATTGAGATAATACAAGTCAATGTAAGTGTTGTGCTAAAGATATGCAGAAGGTATGAAAGGAGCAGATGGGAAAAAAATTCTTTCTCGAACCAAAGGATCAAGTATAACTTCCTGGGGAACGTTATAGGATGATCTGAGTTTTAAATAAGTAGGAGTTATTCATGGTAAAAGAGCGTGGAGTGTATCCCAGGTAGTAGAAGTTTTTTTTTTTTAAACTTTTATGTAATGAATATAAATTTCCAAAGTACAGAATATGGATTACTATGGCTTCCCCCCCCATAACGTCCCTCCAACCCGCAACCCTCCCCTTTCCCACTCCCTCTCCCCTTCCATTCACATCAAGATTCATTTTCGATTCTCTTTATATACAGAAGATCAGTTTAGCATACATTAAGTAAAGATTTCAACAGTTTGCTCCCACACAGAAACATAGAGTGAAAAATACTGTTTGAGTACTAGTTATAGCATTAAATCTCAATGTACAGCACACTAAGGACAAAGATCCTACATGAGGAGTAAGTGCACAGTGACTCCTGTTGTTGACTTAACAAATTGACACTCTTGTTTATGGCATCAGTAATCAACCTAGGCTCTTGTCATGAGCTGCCAAGGCTATGGAAGCCCCCTGAGTTCACTGACTCTGATAATTTTTAGACAAGGCGCTGCGGCTCACCAGGCTAATCCTCCGCCTTGCGGCGCTGGTACACCGGGTTCTAGTCCTGGTCGGGGCACCAGATTCTGTCCCGGTTGCCCCTCTTCCAGGCCAGCTCTCTGCTGTGGCCAGGGAGTGCAGTGGAGGATATGATTTTCATTGTAACATTTATTTTTAGCAAAAGTGAGTAATGGCGATGAGTGAATATTATTTATTCAAATCACTATGCTATGAAGAGAGGAATAATGATAACTGAAGAGGCAGTGAGCTTATTGGGGAGTTTTTTTCTAACTGTCTCTCACTGAAAGAACTCGAACATGCTTAAAAACTGATGGGATAACACCAATAAAAAAGAGGATGAAGACTCAAGAGAGCACGTGATAGATGGAATGAGGACCATAGGAATCAGAAAAGGATGCGCTAGAGAACACAGATGGAAGTATGGGATTTATTAAGATGGATCTGTGGTTTCATGTCTGCCATTAATTTTTGACAATTTTAAGCTATTAGTATATCAATATTTCTTATATTCCTTTCACTCTGTAGTCTACTTTTGGTATTCCTATTATGCATGCCACTGCTTTTGTATTTGTCCTACTGTTTTGGGGTATTCTATTCCATTTTTTCCATTATTTTTTCCTTTTGAATTTCAGTTTTAAAAGTTTCTATTGACATATTCTCCAGATTATATCAGGCATATCCAGCCTGTTAATAACCTCATTAAAGGCAATATTAATTTCGGGTAGAGTTTTTTTTTTATTTCTAGCATATCATTTTGGTTCTTTTTTTAGGGTTTTCGTTTCTCTGCTAACATTACTCAACATTTATACATGTTGTCCATTTTTGTCATTAGAAGTTTCAAGATATCATGATTATTTAAAATTCCTGATATGATAATTCCAAAATCTCTGCCATACCTTAGTCTGGTTCTGATGTTTGGTTTATCTCTTCAAACTCCATTTCTTCTTGTCTTTTGGCATCTCTTGTATCTTAGCCAACTTTTTACTATTTTAACTAAAATACCTGAGAGTAGATTTTTGGGGAAGGAAAAACCTTACTTGACTTAAATTTCGGAGTTTCACTGTTTGAGATTAGGTGACCCTGTTAGTCTGGCATCTGATGGAGGCTGTCAATAGCAGAATGAGTGTGAAGGAACAATGATGTGGTCAACCTGGAGGCACAGAGAGACACTGGAACAGTTTAAATAACCAAACCCTCTTGTGAGAACTACCTTCCGAAGGCAAGCCTTGATTGACCTAAAGACTTCCATCCTGATCCATCAACCATTAGCATTAATCCATCAACTATTAGCATAAGACTTTGAGGTTTTGGGGCCTGCACTGTGACCTAATGGATTAAGCCAAGGCATCCCATATGGGTGCCAGTTAGAGTGCCGGCTGCTCCACTTTTGATCTAGCTCCCTGCTAATGGCCTGAGAAAGTAGCAGAAAATGGCCAAGTGCTTGGGGGCCCTCATCATATGAAATGAAATTCTTAAAATTTAAAGATTTATTTGTTTATTTGAAAGTCAGAGTTACACAGAGATAAAAGGAGAGGCAGAGAGAGACAGAGAGGTCTTCCATCCGCTGGTTCACTCCCCAATTGGCTACAATGGCCAGAACTGTGCCCTTCCAAAACCAGGAGCCAGGAGCTTCTTCCGGGTCTCCCACGTGGATGCGGGGGACCAAGCACTTGGGCCATCGTCATCTTATGCTGCTTTCCCATGCCATAGCAGAGAGCTGGATCAGAAGCCGGGACTCCAAACAGTGCCCATATGGGATGGATTTACCCACTGCACCATAGCGCTGGCCCCTCCATGAATCCTTTGAAGACACTGTGTGCATGGATTTCAAAATTCTAGTGCAACATAAACTTGTGTTTTAACTAATTTCCACTAACTTTTTGAAATCTCCTTATATTATTGTCCCTTTTCATTAAAAAGTATATCAGACTGGCCAGCGCTGCGGCTCACTGGGCTAATCCTCCGCCTGCGGCGCCCACACACCGGGTTCTAGTCCCGGTTGGGGTGCCAGATTCTGTCCCGGTTGCTCCTCTTCCAGTCCAGCTCTCTGCTGTGGCCCTGGAGTGCAATGGAGGATGGCCCAGGTCCTTGCGCCCTGCACCCGTATGGAAGACCAGGAGGAGGCACCTGGCTCCTGGCTTCGGATCGGCGCAGTGTGCCAGCCGCAACATGCCAGCTATAGTGGCCACTTGGGGGGTGAACCAACGGAAAAAGGAAGACCTTTCTCTCTGTCTCTCTCTCTCTCACTGTCTAACTCTGCCTGTCAAAAAATAAATAAATAAAAAATTAAAGAAAATGTATATCAGACTACATCACTTGGCTGCAAGTAACACCCAACTATATGTAATTTAAATAATAGAAGTTTATCAGTAAATCACACAGAACAAGAAGTCTGAGGTTTAGCAAGTCCAGTCTGGATTCTTTCTTTCCCTAAAGCCTTTAAGAATCTATTTTCCCCTCATCTTCCACTATGCAACCTTCAATGTGTCAGGATGTCTCTACCCATGGTTGTAACACAACAGCAATCATTCAAAGCAGCACGTTCTGATACAGCTGCATGCAAAACAGGAAGAAAGGATGCTGCAAAGGAAGGCAATCCTTTACTTTTTCTCTGGGAAGAAAACTTTCTGAGAAACCCAGCAGACTTTGTCTTGCTGATTAGGATCCTGCCTCCCGGGCCCCTCCTAGCTTATGTAGTGAAAGCTGAGAGAGCAATAACTGGCATGTCGGATAACTGCCGGACAGAAGAAAGGTGTTTGTTGGGCTGATGAGGGGATGATTTGCTGTTAGATACTCAACCACCATTGTGAGTTTCACATTGGGAATTAATAGCGAACTTTGATTTATAGCTAACTTTAATAGAAAAGAAAAGGTGAAGAAGAGAGATATTAACTATACCTATAGTAAATCAGGTATACGAACTGAGGATTTTCTCCTCTCACAACTTGTCTGTTTGATAGTTCTAGTGCTACAAGGTCTGAAGTCTCATCATATGGCAGTAATTTCCAAGTGGTTAAAGTGAATTTGCCTCATATTGTTGGAAGTTTCAGAAAATATATGTTGATTTAATAGAAGCAAGGATATTTCTGACACAGCTCTAAGATGGCTGCTTTCAGAGGTTCTAAATTATCTGACACCGGAATATGTAAACAGCACTTTAGGGACAACAGTAATCTATACATCCTGAACCCAGAAAAACTTAGATTCATCTCAAAAGCCAAATTTTGTAAATGGAATTTTTGTAGAGATTAGGCAGAGAGTTAGATTCTATCTGTTCTTTGTAACCCTTTGTATCTTATTTCTTAGCAAATATTCAAATAAGACCTTGGCTGTCACTATAATAAGAACAAATAAAACCATTTGTTTCAAAAATGGGCATGTGAATTCTCATAACATTATGTGAATACAATTAAGTACAAATTTTACTGCCTTGTTATTATAAAACAAGGATCTCATATTTAAAAGATTAAGTAGAATTGTTCATAATAAATAGATCTTACTGGGTCAGTGTGAGCCAGATAGATTAAAAATTATCTGTATTAACAGGTGATATGTAGTTCAGTCTGGAAGTTTCATGAAACTGCCACTTTATTGGTGACTAGAAAGGAGGAGTGGAGAATAAAGTACAATAACGGATAAATTCCAAGCAGGAAATAACACATAAAATATATTTGCCAGCAAGTGGGGGCAATAGTGGATTTTGAGATACACAGAGAGTACAGATTTAATGGTAACTTGTCATTAGACCTAGATGGAAACTTTGTGACAGATATGATCATTGTAATATGCATGTGAGTGGGGAGAGTGAGAGAGAAAAATAGGGAGAGGAAGGGAGTGTGGTGGGGAGAGTGAGAAAGCAAGAAAGAGAGAGAATCCTAATAAAAACCTCGTGTACCAAGTGAATTACATCTTTGTTGCTCTGCCTGACACATTTGGTCTTCTCTTCATTTTCTCTTTCTGGTAACTCTTCTACTTCTGTTTCTCATTTTATCCTCCTACACTTCAATTTTTTTCTTGTCTTTTCTTCATCTCATTCCTTGCCAATGATACCCAAGGTATCCTGATATTATTGCTTAGTGTTCCTAGTGGCTGTAAGAACAGAAATGTCTGATTTTGAAAATTTGAAAAGTGCATTCATAGTAATATGTTTTTCTCCAGAAACTTTTTATTTGAGGACTACAAACTTCATTCATTCATAAATACAACTTAAGGAACATAGTGAGTCTTCCCACTGTACCTACCCTCCCTCCCGCACTCCCACCCTTCTTCCTCCTCCCTTTCCCATTCTCATTCTTATTTTTTACTAAGATCTATTTTAAATTAACTTTATATACATAAAACTAACTCTAACAAGTAAAGAGTTCAATAAATAGGATGGAAAAAAGAACTGTTCCCCAACAGTTAAGACAAGGGTTGTTCAAAGTCATTGCATCTCAAAGTATCAATTTCACTTCTATAAGCAATGGCTTTTTGTTGTCAAATAATAAAAAGTTATGAAACTTAGTACAAAGATTAACAAATAGTTCTTGGAAGTAACCCATAGCTGTGACTAAACTCAAGCCATATTTAGCTCATAGATAAGTCATGTATGTTCTCTATATAGTTAGTATAGATAAGGGGAATGAACATGTGTACAACTGAACAGTTAATTAGTAATTTAGAGGCTGGAGGAAAAAGTCCAAAATCCATGCTCACTTATTTCCTATATAAGCTACCCACCATCTCGGCTGACTGTCTGTCAATTACAGTAGTCTTTTAGTGAAGTTATCAGAACGGCTTAGATTTCTTTCTTCATCTCATGATGGTGGATTGCATGATTAAACTGACTCGGATTCTGTTCATCTCCTGCTGTTTTCTGACTGTACATTGTGCACAACGTAAGAAAAATTCTAATTACTTTACTTCTATAGGTTAAGTATATAAAGAATTCATTAGATTTTAATTAGAGAGGGGATTAATGCTGTGGCAGTGTCTAAAGCTAAGGAACTACACAATATTCCAAGTAAAGTTTATATCGCTAAAAATTCACAAACTTGAATGAATCTGATTTTTAAGGTGTTTACTTTTAGAAATATATACTTTTCTTCCTTTTGAAGCTTATATTTGTCTCTGATCTCTGTAACAAGCAGGAAATATGAAAAAAATCTGTGGGCTGGCATTTAAAATTTTTATTTGTATTGGTATTAGTGGTTGCTTTAGCCACTTACATTTAACACTTTCTTTCTCAGAATATATAGATTGTACTTTATTTTTCAGAAAAATTTCAACCTACAGTGTGTTCAGTACAAACATGACATCACTTGACATAATGAAAACCATCTGAATCTCTGTAAAAGGAAAGAGATAGTTAAAGAAATATATGATATAATCATGACTCTATAAAATAGGGCCTAAAATCTTTTCCAAGCCAAGAAGTGCAGTTCTTTTTCCAAACATTGCCTGTTGAAAACAGATGTGACTTGAATTTCTCTGAGCAGCACTCTGTGACCCACTAATTCTGGTGAGACATTTTTGTTAACTTTGGGTAGTCAGATGCTTAGTGGAACATTCCGGTCAGCTGAAGCTGCTTCCGTATTCCAATTGAGAGTGAACCATTTAAACTACTATACTGTGTTTTCCTTTAAAAACTCGATTATGTTTTCTGATGTGGCCCTCTCATCCCTTTTAGCAATTACGCATGTAGCAAAATCAGTATGTCACATTTTTACATTAGGAAAAAATAAGCTCTACAAAAGGCAAGAGGCTTCCTTTTAGATTTTATAGTTCTGATCTTATCAGAGACATTTCCCTTCTTGCCTGCCACCAACAACCCAAAACAGAGACTCAGAGGCCTAGGATTCAGACAATGTGAAATCCCACTCTATGGAATCGCTTCTTTGTGTTCAGGCTGGTGGAAGGTCAAAATAATTTTGTCTTTCTTGGAATTATACTTTCTGTGCATGTTTATAGGTCCCGTGACTCATAAGAAACTGTCCTACTCACTGATTTTCAGACTTCAGAAAACTTTTCCTCAGTTCAGATCGAGTATGGGATCCACCTTGACAGAGACTCTCCACAGTAGCCTTGAGGCAAAAAGAATTAAGATTTGGAGCAGTGGTTCTTGCTACCTGCAGTGGCTAATTAGTAGGATGCCTGTTTAATCTGTCTGTCTAAATAAGGGTGCATTGGCAATGAAGGGTCTATTAATAATTATTCTGGGATAACAGGGATAAACGAAAACTCTCCTGGCAAACCAGTATGTATGTTGACTCTATCTTTGGGTCATTGTTTTCTCTTTAGCCAAAACATGATACCCAAATTTAGTCTCAAAGAACTTTGCTTAAATATTAGATATCCTTTGAGCTATCACGCCGTGTATTGACTTTTCAAATCCATGCTGTGAAAATCATCAGGTACAAAATCATGGGCACAAAAACATGGTTTGATGTTCATCTTGCATTTGGAAGCCTAGAGCTTGATAATATATTTGAACACTCCCAAAGTACCAGAAAGTTATTTTAATTTTGGTATTTTTAAGCTTATTTTTTGACTTTTTATTTCCAAAGTTTTAAATTTTTAAAACAGAAATCATGAAGTAGAACAAAGAGCTCCCCTATTATTAACATCTTATATTAGTATGATATATTTGTTACAATAAATAAAGCACACTGAACTCCCCCTAATATTTGATATTATTAGGATTGTATCCGCGAACTATACGGACTCTGTTAAAAACTAATTAAAAATAAAAATAATAAAAATAATTTTTAAGAATAAAATAAAATAGTTTTTCTAACATGCAGAATTTCTCACATGTGTATTATGCAAGTTTGAAACATTTGTCCCATGTTGTTGAGGGATTTTGAATTTTGTTCTTTACAGCCAACTGTACATCTGTGACTGACTTTGATGATTGTCCAGGGATTATAACAGATTTCTGTCCAGAGAATATTGCTTGTGCATGCAAAGATGGAAAGCCTTATTGCAAGTAAGTGATTATATATGCTGTAAAAGCAAGGTAAACACAATATGTTATAAGTAATAATTTATTTTTTTCTATTTTTTTCTATATCTGATGATGCAATACTTGACTTAAAATAATAGTTTGATCAGAAATAGTTTCTATATACATGGCACAGTCATGTTGTTATTAAAATGTTTTAATTTACTGTTTTAAAAACAATATGCTAAAATTTAAAAATTTAGATTATTTATCTTAACTTTATAAGATTAGCTTTCATCAGATAAATTTTTAAAAACAAGTTACTTATATTCATAAGTAAACTGTTTTATTGTCCTAAAGAAGAAGAGTTTCAGGTATGCCTTAATTTATATGATAGCCATAATCCAGACATGTTATGTATGTGTGTAAATAAATAGTTCATTTTAGATGCACTGTGACTCCCATTCTTTATTTGCAAGTTTATCTTTTATCAGTATATGTTCTTTGAGTCAGATAATTTCCTTTAAAAATCAGGCATATTTTCCTTTTTTTTACGAGGGTGGGTAGATTAAAAATGAGAGAAAGTCTTAGGGAAAAAACATGCTATAAAAATAAGAAAAGAGTGCATGTATGAGAGCGAGGCTAAGTGAGGAGCACAATAAACAAAGATTTTCCAAAGTACAAGTTACTCCACCTGCATTTTGAAAACTGATAATAGCATAATTAGGTGTAGGCAAAAGGACCAGTACAGGAAAAGGCACTGAAGTTTGAAGGAATTTTTTATTTGGAGAAATGCAAATAGTTGGCATACCACTCTCTGGACAATTTTCCTTCCTATTTTCTCTATCACCACAGAATGTTTGCGTATACTACAACTTCTCCATATTACTCTTCCTTGTCCTTTGCTACCTCTCAACATAGCTCTGCTTCCTTAGACAAATTCCTATTGAACTTCAAGAACAAGTTTAACCATATGGCTGACATAGCTTTTAAACTGCCTCACTGCAATTTCTTTGAATGTAGGAAATTGTGGGGAGCAATCCGGACTGGACTGAGTTACTGGAATTAAGACTTATTCTATGCATCTGCTCTCCCACAATATGGCGCTGGGAGAGAAGTAAACAGCTTCCACACAGCTGCCTCCAGTTCAACTAATAAACTGTAGGACTTGCTCCTGATTGGAGGAGAGCAGCGTACTCGGCGTGTGGGCAGCCGAGTTGGGATGGGCGGAGGAGGACTATAAAGGAGGAGAGAGACGGCATGCACCAGGAACATCTAAGGGGAACATCTAGCTGAAGGAACACCTGTGCAGCCCCCGAGAAAGCCGGCCGGCGGTGTGCCGCTCCCCTGCGGAAGTGGGGAATGTGGCCAGGGGGAACTGCCCTTCCACGGAGGTGGAAGGGATAGTAGCCAACCCGGGAAGAACCAGCAGCAAACCCGGGGAGGGCCGAGCAGACGAAAGAACAGTGCAGGGTCCTGTGTTGTTCCTCCACGAAGAGGGGGAGCGACATAATGGTGCCGTGACTCGGATATGAAGCCTAGGCAGGGTCCTGTGTTGCTCCTCCACGAAGAGGGGGAGCGACAGGAAATATGTTTTCTCTTTAAGAGTGCCACAAAATAATAATTTATTCTATTTATCTCTAGCAGATAGCACAATGCCTGACAAATAGAATGTGTTCTGTAAGGGTTTATTGAATGAATGGATCATTGGGTGTGGTTGCTCAACAGTGCAAGATGCTAGAATATTGAAAAGGAAGAAAAGTGATTTTAAAAATCACTGGATTGAGCTTTTTAGGTGGTGTTGGTGGTAACCTTCAGAATACGTTATAAGGTCTATGTGGGGATGAAACCAGGTTGCAAAATTGCATCCAAAAGTGAGAAGTAAATGCAATACAACAATGAAGAAACATCTGTAAGTCATTTGGTAATTTCAATACTATTTTTAGACTTATAGTTGGAGGAATTCTAGAGGCATCAATCAACATTTTGGCCAACAGCTAATTAACCTTTACCTGTCTTCCTAACCCTTATTTTAGTTCTTTGTCTCATTTTTTGATATCATTACAGTTGTTTAATTGCCACAACATATTAACATTAGCTCTATTTTGAAGTTTTTCTTCACCAGTTTGATTCCGACAACCCTCTTCAACTTATTTTACTGGTGGACCTCAATGTGGAGCATAATTGTTATGGTTCTGGTGTGCCTTGCTTGTCATATTATTTGGATGTCTACCTGGTGACAAGGGATCATTTTTATTACAAAGTATATTTTGGCATACAGTTTGGGTCACTTATTTTAACATTACTAATCAGAGATAGAAGCGAAAAATCAGGATTGAATGTATCAAACTAAATGAAGTAATTGTTATTTTTAAGATCTTAAAACATTTTAGTAGTATTGCTGAAATTGCTGTAGGATATACATACCACCAGCAACCATAGGCCTACATACAGGTATTTCTTTCATTTTCATTCTCTCTCTCTCTCTCTCTCTCTCTCTCTCTCATACACACACACACACACACACACACATTGCTGTACAAATAAAAAATGAAAAAAAAAAGCCAAATTGAAACTACTAGCATATTTAAAGACAGACAACTTAATAAAATTGCCTAAATTAAGAATATAAACTCAGCCGGCGCCGCGGCTCACTAGGCTAATCCTCTGCGCAGGCACACCGGGTTCTAGTCCCGGTCGGGGTGCCGGATTCTGTCCCGGTTGCCCCTCTTCCAGGCCAGCTCTCTGCTGTGGCCCGGGAGTGCAGTGGAGGATGGCCCAAGTGCTTGGGCCCTGCACCAGCATGGGAGACCAGGCGAAGCACCTGGCTCCTGCCATCAGATCAGCGCGGTGAGCCGGCCGCGGCGGCCATTGGAGGGTGAACCAATGGCAAAGGAAGACCTTTCTCTCTGTCTGTCTCTCTCACTGTCCACTCTGCCTGTCAAAAAAAAAAAAAAAAAGAAAGAAAAAGAAAAAGAATATAAACTCAATATGTACTTTTAATTGGAACAGTTAATATACCTAATTTCAATTATTGTTCACATTTCTCACATACCTACTGGCCAGTGAGAGTAAAAATGTGAATTTGCTTTGGTGAGTTGTTGGTCAAATTATACAAAATTACAATTGGAGGGATAAGAAAAATCAGTCTTAAAGATCTATTGTATAGCATGGTGACAATAACAATTTTTTAAAGATTTATTTATTTATTTGAAAGGTGAAATTAGGGAGGGAGGGAAGGAGGGAGGAAGAGAGAGAATCTTCCATCTGCTGGTTCATTCTCCAAATAGCCACAACAGCTGGGGTTGGGTCAGACCAAAGCCAGGAGCCAGGAGCTTCTTCTAGGTCTCATTAGTAGGGAACTGGATCAGAAGTGGAGCAACTGGGACTCGAACCAGTACTTATATATGATGGCAGCCTTGCAGAGGGCAACTTAACTCACTGAGCTTATCCGAAGCCAGGAGCCAGGTACTTCCCCCCTCTCTCCCACGCAGGGGCAGGGGCCCAAGCACTTGGGCTGTCTTCTACTGCTTTCGCAGACCATAGCAGAGAGCTGGATCAGAAGAGGGGGGCAGCCAGAACTAGAACCGGCCTCCAAATGGGATGCCGGCACTGCAGACAGAGGATTAACCTACTGTGCCACGACGCCAGCTCCTATGTTGATTCTTTTTCTTACTCATCTCATTGGGAGTATTTAATACAACTGACCACTCTTTACTCAAATTTTCACTTTTTCAGAACATTCCCTCTCTCCTAGGTTTTTTTTTTTTTTTCCATTTGCCTCTCTTTGTACTTCTCAATTTCTTCTGTTAGTTTTTTTTCTCTTCTCACCAAGTTAGGGTGTCCCAGGGCTTAGTCCTTCATCCTCTTCATACCTCCTCCCTTGGTGATTTATCCAATCTCCTGGCTTTAAATATCATTGATTTTTGTCTGCTGCTAATGCTATGAACACAATTCAAGTTCATATATTTATTTTCTTCTCTCATCATCAGTGTTTTGTAGTTTTTTAAACATATCTTGCATGTATTTTGTGTAAATGCATCTCCAAGTAGTTCTAATCTTTTGGTGCTCATAGAAATAATATGATGCTTCTCCCCCTTTGTTTGATGATTGTTTTCTTGTTTGTCTTTTGCCTCCTTGTGATGAGATCCTGGTTATGTGTTCTCAGCTGGGATGCTGCATAGGTGATGTGACATCTTCAGACTATTCCCATTGGTCACTTCTTAATGATATTGAATTTTGATCATAGATAGGAAAATGAACAGAAAACTTCCCTTTTGATTCAGACTCCAAGCATTTTATGAAATTATGGGTGATTGAAATAATATGTCAGAAAAAGAATTAAGACAGATAACAGCCTCACTGCCTGGCTTTGTTGTTGCCATTGTTATATTTGAATGGAAATATAGTCATCCCTGATTATTTTTCAATCTGGGAAAATTCATGCCTACAAACTTAGAGATGTGGATGCTTCCTCACCATCCCCACTAGGATATCTAATACCCATTTCAAAGCCACCAAGTATAAAACTGAACACCTGAGTTCTTTTTTAAAAAGATTTATTTTATTTATTTGAAAGACAGAGTTACAGAGAGGTAGAGACAGAGAGAGGTAGGTCTTCCATCGCTGGTCACTCCCTAGATGGCCACAACGGCTGGAGCTGCGCCGATCCGAAGCCAGGAGCTTCTTCCGGGTCTCCCACGTGGGTGCAGGCCCAAGGACTTGGGCCATCTTTTACTGCTATACCAGGCCATAGCAGAGAGCTGGATCGGAAGAGGAGCAGCAGGGACTAGAACCGGTGCCCATATGGGATGCTGGAACTTCAGGCCAGGGCGTTAACCTGCTGCGCCACAGTGCTGGCCGAACACCTGAGTTCTGACCACAGTCACTATAAATGTGTTCTACCTACAATCTTCACTGCATCTCTATTGTTCCATTTGCTTTCACCAAAAAACCTCAAGTCATCTTTAGGTCTTTTTTCTCTTGCATACCCACTTTGTGTTCATCAGAAAATCCTGTGGATTCTGCCTTATAAAAGATAAACAGAAATCAGTCACTTATCATTTCTACTCTCCTGCTATCATTCTGGTTCAAGCTACCATCATCCCTTCCCTAGATCCTGAAAGCTTTCTAATTTTGTCCCAGCTTCAACCTTTGTTCCCTACAACATATTTTCTCCTTTTAAATGTTTTTCTATTGATGTAAAGAGAACAGATTACATGTATTTCATAGGCACAATTCTATGAAGATAATCATACTTCCTTCCCTCCCTTTCTCCCTACCTCAATAACCTTCCTTCCTTCCTTCTTTTTTTTTTTTTCCTTTGGTTTCAGCAAAAATAGCTGGGTCTCTGCTACTCATGTAGCTGGCTCCTGTCTTCAGCTTGGCCCAACCCCAGCTATTGTTGGCATTTGAGAAATGAACCAGTGGATGAGAGCTCTGTCTATTTCTCTCTGTCTCTCTGCCTTTCAAATAAATAAACTAAATTTAAAAATTTCTAAAAATAAGCATTTTAGATAATTTACTCATTATGTTTATTTTTGTTGTCTATCAGTATCTCATTTGTTGTAAGCTACTTGAGGACAAGGATATTTGTTTTAGACACTGGTGTTTCGCAAATGGCTGGAATAATACTTGGTATATAGTGGGTATTCAATAAATGTTCTTGAATGAATTAAACATTATTATATAATGGGCATTTCCTTTTTGATTAATTTCTAGACTAAACAAGAAATATATTCTTATAAAAGTCTTTTTCCAAGAAGAAATTTGTGAGAATGGATAATATATATTTGAAAAATAGGCTTTGGCCTCCCTAAATGAATGACAGTGTTTACTTATTAAAAGACAGTCCTACTGAGCAGATTACTATCTCTTTGAAGCTGGTAGATGCATTTTCTTAGAGAACCTTTGTCCATCAGGGATATAAATATTACAGTAATCATCTAATCAATCCCTCCACGTCAGCCCTGACTGTGTTTCTTTTTATATTGGAACAACATAAACCAGGAAGAGTTAACTTAGAATCTGACATTTACTGTTCAACTGGATTATCTTAAAGCAATTCTGCAGGAGACAATGAAGCAATCTCTAAAGACACTACATGAACAAACCTCGCCATTAGTCACTCGCATTGGGGATTGGGAGAAGTCATTCTCCCTCTCCACAAATCCACAGACGGTTCTCTGTGGGCATATGCCATACTGGTTTTCAGTCTATGCACAAGAGAATCACATTCATGTTATTTGGCAGAGTCTCACGGCTCTACAGAAACACTAGAAGTCCATATATGAGTCATCTATTTGTATAAAATAAAGGAGGAAAATCTGTAGTCATGGAAAAGATGGGGGCAGGCAGATCTTGCTGGCAAGTACTCTCTTCTCACCTTCTCATGTTTCTTCTGGCATTTGCTGTAGAGTGGCAAGATGGGTGTGTTAACCTGTGTTCATTATTGTAGGAGCAAGTGGGAGGGAACGCCCATCCTCCAGTTACAGAATTAGTGGCCTAGGCTTCTTTGAACACTTTTCATAGCACCAATAGAACTAAGGTGGTCAAAGTGAGTATAGGTATGAATTTCAGGTACAATGCAGATATTTTAAGGACAATCTTGAGACAGTCATTCTGGGTGAGCCTCTTTTCATTTCTAAGTGCCACATCTTCATTAGCTAATGGTTGAGAAATCCTGACAGCCTTCTGCATGCTGACTCAATGTGTGCAAACTAGTAGGTTTTAAAGTTTTGGCTCAATTGGAAAATGGGACAGTGTAAATCTCTTGAAGGCCTTGAAGAGAAACCTCATGGTTGAGTACGATGATATGTTTGATTCATTTAGGGGAGACAATTTGTGTTTTCCTAATTTGTGAACTTATTTCTTTTTCTATTATCTTTCTGCAGATGTCCAAATTTCAGAGGTCAGTTGGGAAACTATTGGTATATGGGGGCCAAATGTGATCAACTCTGGAATACTCTGGATCTGATTTTAGTGGCAGTATTGCCTGGAATAGGGCTGGCTTTAATAGTTGGTGTAACAATTCAGACTGTCTACTACTGTAAAAAGAAGTCAAAGAAGAATATAGATGATCATCGGTAAGAAAATTTCTAAATACCACTGAGAATGGTGGAAATCTCTTGTGAGATCAGCAAGCAAATCAAGAAATAATGAATCTAATTTATCTTGCATTTAGCTAGTATGTTCTCTTTCATATTCATCACTAAATTGTAATTAAATTTGAAAAGTCAAGGTAACACTGCCAAACCAGCCATATTTTGCTCAGGATTTGGATAGACTGAAAACTGGAAAGCCCCTTTCCCAGATAAAAAGCTAAGTATATTTCAGACAATAATTGTCCTGCTTCAGTGCTTTCCTTCTGATCAAGGAAATATTTGTGTGTACCACACGTACTGTCCTAATAGTGTGTGGGGAGAAGGTGGGGTGCTACTCTGCCAGTGCCATTTACTTACCCTCTAATATAATCCCAGCAACTATGTTGGGGAAATGGAAAGTGGAATCCAATAGACTTGACTGCAATGTGACTTTGTTTTGAGAGTTTCTTTACTTCACTGTGCTATAATTTCCTTATATACATAATAGAGATGGTTATAATAAGCAGTACCCACTTCACAGAGATGAGAAGAATGATTCTGAAAGCAGCAATCATTTATTGGGGTTTTATTAAGTGTGTCAGGTTGAATTATAGATGTTTCATATCTATCAGCTCATTTAATCCTTACAATAACCCTGTAAGATATTGATAAGATTATTGAAGCACGAAGAGATTAAATATAGGGCTAAATCTCTATCCAGGCAGTCTAGATATCAGACCTAAACTCTAAACTCTTAACTCTCATCTTATGCTAATAGAATCTAATGAGATAAAACAGTATTTTGAAAGTTGTAAATCTCTATTGTATTTCTTTTATTTCTTCGTTTAAAAGCAAACTAACTATACAGTTTATATTTTGTACTGCCCCTGAATGATAGAGTTATAAGGGATAAATACCAGTAGAGTAAAACAACATCAGTTTTATATCAGTTAATTGAATTAGTATCTATGATACTGTTACTCTTTATGCATTATGAGTATAGTTGAAAAATATTACTTGAAAATAGTGGTAGCTGGTACTGTGAACCTCATATTCTGAATAGCAGATCTACAAATTTTAATAAAATCAACAAATTGAACAGCTTTGTATAGTTGTTTCTGGAAGGAGTGATATAAAGTCTCCAATAGTTTTGTCATTTAAAAATTTGAATCCATTTTTGTGCTGTCATTCTGTGTTCTTTAGAATACCATGTGATATATATGTGTATGTGTATAAAGAGTTGATCAACCTTATTTTTATAAATTGAAATTAATGTGGAGAATTTCATATCACCACTTGACACAGATTCAAAAACCATAGAGATGTTAAAAAAATCATTATGATTGGAAATTATACCTATAAACAAGTCACTTTTCAAATATTCTCCCTAGCTTTCCTACTCCAAAGTTTTCTAGGACTTTAGATTTATATTACAATTTTTTTTTGCTAGTGTATCACTTAGCCCCTGTTTTCTCCTTTATAAATAGAGAGGGAGTAATACATAGCCCATTCTCTCATTGTGTGGGATTAAAATGAATTAATTAGTAGAATATTGCATTGAGAATCAAAGGTAAGCAGAAAATATGATTATAAATCAGGACAGTAGTAGTGCAATGTTTCTAACCACGATTTTTAGGCTTTCTGAAAAGGAGTGAAGTGTCTTATTTTCTTCCAGTTAAAATCTGGTTTAGTTTGAGCTCTTTTCAACTTTCTGCCATTCTCTGAATTGTGTATGATAAAGGGACACTGAATATGCTCTGGGAATTTGAAGATTGCTTAGTATAGTAAAAACTTATGAGCCATGGAGTGGGACTCAAATATCTGGCTCCTTAAATCACTTACTATGTAACTTCAGGGGATTTACTTAAAATATTTCAGCCTCAGTGTTCTCATCTACAAAATGGAGTTTAAAATACTCACACTTACCTACAAGATTTTCTAAATATTCAAATAAGATAATGTAATTTTGTTGGTAAACTATACTATGTCACCAATTTCAATTGTATCCAAAAAGATGAATTAATTAAAGCAAGTATATAAAAGTGTTAATAGTAGAATTGTGGTAGTAGAGACATGGGCATTCACTGTAAAGTTCTTTCAATTTTGGTACATGCTTGAATGTTTTTATAATAAAATGTTGAATAAAGTCAGATAATTTTAAGTAAAGTATCTTGAACTTGGAAATCATTCAACATAGTAACCATATTATTGCTTTTCTCTGGGTACAGTCATAAAATGAGAACACTCTGTATTGTTCAAAAAAGAGTTTATCAAAATGTGATTTATAACCAATTAAGCAAATGTTCTATTCTAACTGTATTTGTATGCTTATGTGTGTGTGTGTGTCTTTAAAGTGCTAGAGAACAGCCGAGTTCCTTCAGACTTCGACCTCAGCATAATTCTGCATATGCTTTTGATACTGAACTGAGTCCTCCTCAACTTGATCGAGCCCAGGTAAACACTAAAACTCATTTGTCAAATAAACTAAGTTTACTGAAGATATCAAAGAGAAAAATGCCTTGGAGAAACAAAAACAGCCTTGAGAGATTAAGGAAGTAGTCAGAAACAATAAAATGAAGTGTTATCAAAAGATCAAATTGCACAACTATAGTATGGTTAATGACAGGTTATATATCAGTAAAGAACAGGCCAGAGCTGGGGCAATAACACCCGGGCAATTACAGCAGGAGTGCTCTCTAACTCTCCTCCCCAGCATTTGATTCCAGGCAAAATCAAGTTAAAACAAATACCATATATCAAAGGGGAAAGGAAATCCCTGAAAGAGGGTGAGAAAATGGCTAAGAGGACAAGGAGTTGAGCCATGTGACTATGTGTGTGTGTGTGTGTGTGTGTGTGTATACTTATACACATACATATTGTGAAAATCCCATCTGATCTGTTCACAGTAGCACAAATCTTCTGAACAAAAGACTTGTGGAGATTTGTTGAATTCACTGCACTTTAGGAGCAGCCGTGACTAGTAAACAAAAGGAATCTAGGTGTCATATTAGACCAAAAGTATCAGAAGCAGTAGCAATGATTTTATTGCTTTAAATGAAACAAATCACAAATAAGATATCACAAAAGCATCTTTTGTTATGATTTATTCGATTCTAGAGTATGCCTAATTTTGGTATTTCTATTTTAAGGAAGTAAGACCTACATTGAGATTAAAGAACTCCAACCTCACATAATTCCACATGTTTCTGATATGGAAGCATCTTAATAACATTAAGGCAGTTAAACACTGAAAAAGATTAAGATAAAGGATTGATGAATAAAGGACAGTGATCAGAAACTTTCTACTTGAAGTCAAAACAATTAAATTTTAGACTTAAATTACAGTATTAAGGATTTTTTTTATAATATATGGCATATTTTGAAAAAGAAAGTCAAAGTACTCTGGGTGAATGTCCTACTATGAGTATTATTGGTGTCTTTAAAAGGATGAATTCTAAGACTGCCAAATGGCTTTGTTTGCCTTTTTTCCTTTGAAGTGACCAATCATCTTGTATATAAATTCTAAAAATTAGAGAATCAAGCAAGGAGTCACCTTTCCTTTTCTAAGTATTCACTTATTTTTGCTCACCTGATTGCTTCTGCCCTCCTCCCCCCAACCTATTTTTCAAACCTCCGAGTTGAACTTCTTATCTCATTATCTTTTTTAACCTAATTCTATTAAAGCTCTAATTGTGGATAAAATTAATGAGGAAAGCCAAATACAATGCCTATCATTTAGGCTATGTTCAATCAATGTTACTCCCTCTCCATCTTAGCCTTTCTATGTCTTAAGTGCCTGCTGTATTCCTCGTTGTATCTATCTGAATACTTCTTATGTGGAAACTTTTTTTTCCACACTTTTTACATTTCCTAAACTTTCCTTGACTGGAGAAGTCACAAGAAAACTTCTATGTTTCTCATAATCTGTACTCTTCTCTTTCAGATTATTTCCCAAAGTCTGGGGAATAAAAAAGGCAAAGTGGATTGAAGGTTAACAGGATAATAGAGAACTAGGAAACTTTTCAATTAGAGTTAAATTGTTTAGGAAGGTGTGGACATGCACTGTGTTCTGAATGTACATTTAAAATGTTGACTTTGACAAGTAATGACTTCTTGTAAGCTAAAGTTCAGATCAAGTTTCCACCAAATTAAATAAGACTTTTCATGCATATTCATCAGTATATTTTATTCAGTTAGTTCACACATCTACAGAACCAGGAAGTAATAAGAAGATCTTGAGTTTATTCTTGAATTGTCAACAATAATCTTTTCTAATTGACTTAATGATTGCATTTGAGTGGGTGGAGATAAAACTACATATTTATTACTTCTTCTTCACCTCACTTATACCCCACTATTACATTTAGAAAAAAGTAGCTTACAGCTTTCAAGGTTGAACAATTAGAAACCCCAATATATTCCATGAATCTTTGGCAGGAAATTGGCTGCATAGTTTAGACCAGTGAGAAGAATTCACCATTGCCTTTGTTGGTTATTTTTGGTTGTTGTTCTGTTCATAAATACTTTACAACAATTTATCTGCCTTTACAGCCAAGCTTACATGGGTGAGCCACTTCCACAGGATGTAACATGTTTAAATTACCTACACTTGTTGAAAATACACATCAGCTAAATCAGGGTGGACAAACTTACATTTGTTAGAGACCCAGGTAATGGGCATATTTTGAAATGCATAGACATAAATAATGGTATGAATTCAAGAGAATAAAAAAGATTAACTCATATAATAGGAACAATATATATGTAAATATGCTCAATGAAAATCAGGAAGAATTTTTTTTTACAATTTATTTATTTGAAAAGCAGGGTGATAGAGAGGAAGTGACAGAGAAACAGAGATCATTCGTGTCTTGGTTCACTTCCCAAATGCCTGCAATTGCTGGGTATGGGCCAGGTCAAAGCCAGGAGCCTGGAACTCCATCGGGGTCTTCCATGTGGGTGGCAGGGGTCCAAGTACTTGGGCCAACTTATACTGCCTTCCCATGTATGTTAACAGTGAGCTAGATTGGAAGCAGAGCAGCAAGGAATTGAACTGGCACTCCCATATGGTAAGCAGACATTACAAGTGGTGGCTTGACCTGCTTTGCCACAACACCAGTCCCACAAAGAATATTTTGATTAACAATCACATTTTCTATATTTGTCAGTGATAATTCAAAGCTTACCAAATTACAGGCTTTATTATAATTTCAAATAGAGTAAATTGAAAATAGGAAAGGATGATGAACCATGTTTTAAATTATCCATTTACTAAATCCAGGAAATCATTCTTCTTAGATAATGATTGAAAATAATATCTGGGCCGGTGCCGCGGCTCACTAGGCTAATCCTCCGCCTTGCGGTGCTGGCACACCAGATTCTAGTCCCGGTCGGGGCGCCGGATTCTGTCCCAGTTGCCCCTCTTCCAGGCCAGCTCTCTGCTGTGGCCAGGGAGTGCAGTGGAGGATGGCCCAAGTCCTTGGGCCCTGCACCCGCATGGGAGACCAGGATAAGTACCTGGCTCCTGCCATCGGATCAGCGTGGTGCGCCGGCCGCGGCGGCCATTGGAGGGTGAACCAACGGCAAAGGAAGACCTTTCTCTCTGTCTCTCTCTCTCACTGTCCACTCTGCCTGTCAAAAAAATAATTTATAAAAAAAGAAAATAATATCTAATTAATTGAAGTAGTCTATATATCTGAAAATGCTATCACAACTTAGCTAATTTCTCATTACACATTGTTAATATCATCTTCAAATCATTAAATATTATTAAGCACCCCACCACAAATAGCACTGTGCAAAATGTGAGACTCTCCAAACCACAGTGACATTTTCTGAATTTTTAAAAGATTTATTGTTTTTTTTGAAAGACAGAGTTACAGAGAGAAAAAAAGAAGAGAGAGATAGAGAGAAAAAGAGAGAGAGATCTTCAATCTATTGGTTCACTCCCCAAGTCCCTGCAAGAGGCTGAAGCCAGGAGCCTGGAGCCTGGAATTCCACTGATGGGGACCATGCACTTGGGCCATCTTCAGCTGCTTTCTCAGGCACAATAGCAGGGTGTTGGATCAGAAGTGGAGCAACTGGGATTCGAACTGGCACTCATATGGGATGCTGGCATCACAGGCAGAGGTTTAATTATGTGCCACAATGCTGTCACCCACTGCAGTATTTTCAATATGCAATGTCATTTTATACATACATCAGATCTACCCTATAAATGATTAGTCACATATTTAGGAATAGTTACATAATTGAAGTCCTGCCATGTCATTTTAACTCATGAAATGCATTTTTATGACAGTCAGATAGGGGCTGACATTGTGGTTCTGTGGGTTAAACCACCCATATGGGTGCTGGTTCAAATCTTGGATGTTCCACTTTCTTTTTTTTTTCTTTTTTTAAGAAGTTTTTATTTAATGAATACAGTGTTCATAGCTACGGCTTTAAGAATATAGTGGTTCTTGCCCCTATACCTGACCTCCCATCACCACTCTTGTCCCATCTCCTACTCCCTCTCCCATCCCATTCTTCATTAAGATTCATTTTTAATTAATTTTATATACAGAAGATCAACTCTATATTAAGTAACGATTTTGACAGTTTGCACCCACCCACCCATACACACACACACACACACACACACACAGTATAAAGTACTGTTTGAAAACAAATTTTACAGTTAATTCTCATAGTACAACTCATTAAGGACAGAGGTCCTACATGGGGAGTAAGTGCACAGTGCCTCCTGTTGTTGGTTTAACAATTAACACTCTTATCTATGACATCAGAGATCAGGTTCTTGCCATGAGCTGCCAAGGCTATGGAAGCCTTTTGAGTCCACAAACTCCATCACTATTTAGACAGGGCCATAAGCAAAGTGGAAGTTCTCTCCTCCCTTCAGAGAAAAGTATATCCTTCTTTGATGGCTCCTTCTTTCCACTGGGGTCTCACTCACAGAGATCCTTCATGTAGGACATTTTTGTTCCACTTTCAATCTAGCTCCTTGTTAATGTACCTGGGAGCGCAGTGGAGGATGGCTGAAGTGCTTAGGCCCCTGCCACCCATGTAGGAAACCTGGATAGAGTTCCAGGCTCCTGGCTTCAGATTGGCCCAGCCCTGGCTCTTGCAACCATTTGGAGAGTGAATTAGCAGATACAAGATTTTTCTCTCTCTCTGTAACTCTGCCTTTCAAATAAGTAAATAAGTCTTTTTAAAAAAAAAGATAACACAGAAGGGCCGGCATTGTGTCATACCAGGTAAAGCTGCCATCTGACACACTGCCATCTATAATGGCACCAGTTCATATCCCACCTGCTCCACTTCTGATCCAGCTCACTGCTAATGGCCTGGGAAAAGCAGCGACAGATAGCCCAAGTGCTTGTGCCCCTGCACCCACGTGGGAGCCCCGGATGAAGCTCCTGGATCCTGGCTTCTGCCTGGCCTAGCCCTGGCTG